AGAGAGAGAGAGAGAGAGAGAATTTTTAATATTTATTTTTTAGTTCTCAGCAGACACAACATCTTTGTTGGTATGTGGTGCTGAGGATCGAAACTGGGCCGCACGCATGTCAGGCGAGCGTGCTACCGCTTGAGCCACATCCCCAGCCCTACTTTTAGTATCTTTTTAGTGTGGCTCTGCCAAGGTGAATGAATATCCAGCTTTGGCTTACTTAAAATGTCTATTCTGCCTTCACCTTTTAAAATCCATAAATAAAAAAACTAATGTCTTAATCATTGCATTCTTATAGTATTTTTCAGCTAAAAACCTTGAACTTTTAAATATTAAAGGAGCTGATTCTCATTGCATAGGAAGAGTAGATATTAAACTATTTTATAGATGATGAAATAAAGGAGTAGCGATTTCAAATTATTTTTAGCATCAAAGAAAAGAGATTCAAAATTTTGGAATCTGGCTTGGTAAGACTTGGAATTATCAACTGAGCGCTGAGTTCCAGAGATTCACAGACAAGGCAGTAAGAGAAAGTCGTCTGGTTCAGCAAACACGAGACTCTGAGGCTACACATTTTGAAGCTAGATACAATATTTGGATGTATTTGCTTCCAGTTAGTATTTCACCATTCACAGAATTTTGATTTGCCTTCTTTTAGCTGTCTTTTATATAACTTTTAAAGTTATATAAATAAGAGTTGGAGACAAAGCTCAGGGGAACAGCACTTGCCTAACATACATGATCTAGGTTTGATCTCCAGCACCACCATTAAATAAAGTCAGATAAGTGAAGATATTTGTACTTGACTGTTATATATTTTCAGGAAGATGGGAATAAGGTACGTCCTGCATATTGCTATAAACACAAAACCACCCTCTTAAAATGTAAAAGAAAAACTGATAGGTAATTGATAGGTGCTTAGGTAAATACCAAATTGTAGCGTATTATCTCAAGTGATGTGACAAGTTCACAGGTCTACACATTTTATTAATAAAAGGTAATAGCCATGATCAATTAGCTTATTTCATAGAGAAAATAGATAAGCAGCAGAGGGCACTGGAACCCAGAAAAATTAAAGGTGAGGAACTAGGAAAGCTCAATTGGAACTGGAGAAGTGACTGGGATTCAAGACATTTAAAAATAAAAGATCAAAATGCAAAGCAATAGATCTAACCTATTATGAATTGCATGCAAGCTAATGATAACACATACATCTAGCTGAAATGTGAAGTTCATAAATTAACAGAAGAATGCAGGTGAGAAATAGCTAGGTTCAGTAAGGAGTCCAGGGCATGATGGAGAAATTTTCACAGTTGTTGTTCTTAAAAGGAAAAAAGAAAGAGGAGACAGGGTAGGCTCCCAAGACTTTTAAGAGCCAAATGGAAATAGACGAATTAGTCTGACACAATTTTATGCATCTACATAACGTACGGCCGACAAAACAAACAAAAACAACCACCAATAGGTACCAACACCATCATTGGATGAGCAGTAAAGTTTTAGAGACTATCACAAAGGAGTATGTAGTTCAGACAAAGAAAATGTCAAGATTAACCACTAGAAGGCAGCAGCAGGCCATCAGAAAGTAGCTCCTTATCTTGAAATTAATAGGTTGCTACCACCTTTCTTTTCTTTTTTCTTCTTTAGCTTGCACATGAGAGAAAACATAACCTTTGACTTTCTGAGTTTGGCTTATTTCAATAAACATAATGTCCATTTTCCTACAAATGACAGAATTTCATTCTTCTTTATGGCTGAATAGAACTGCACTGTGTGTATATACCACATTTTCTTTACCGATGGACACGTAGGCCGATTCCATAGTTCGGCTATTGTGAACTGGGTGTGCATAAGCATGGGTGTGCATGTGTCACTGCAGTATGATGACGTTAATTCAGGAGTGGTATAGCTGGGTCATATGGTGGTTCCATTCCTCCTCTTTTGAGGACTCTATGCTGACTTCCATAGTGGTTGTACTAATTTACAATCCCATATCAGTGTCAAAGTGCTCCCTTCCCTTCCTTCTCCTCAGCATTTGTTACTGTTTGAGGTCTTGATGGCTGCCACTCTAACTGGAGTGAGATGAAATCTCGGTGTAGTTTTTGATAAACTACTGCTAGTTTTAATAGAGGGAACTCTTGCACAATTTTTAAAGGCTAGGTTATGCATTGGCAGGAAACAGAGGAATAATGAGTATTTACTGATGATTAAATATAGAATGCAGTTTTGTAGTCACAATGATGAACGGCCATCCTCACTCCCACTTCACCAGAGAGGAAGATGGGGGGGGGAAGGCGGAGGGAGGGAGGGAGGGAGGGAGGGAGAAAGCAGCAGGCAGACAAGGGTGGGAATGGTCTTGGGGGCAGCAGAAAGTAAGGGAAGGCGTGGATCTTGAATAAAAAGGAAACTCATAAGAATCTCCAGATTCCTTGTCTCCATTTAAAAACAGGAATTTGGACACCATGAAATACACCTCAGAACACATAGTGGCAGATTTCAACAATGATAAATTCATTTCTCTCTTAAGAATAGTATAACTACCCACAGACTAGTTCTACGTGGGAGCTTAGTAAATTACCTAAATTAATGAAATCACAGGACTGAAAAAAACTTAGGAGATTTGAGACAGGTCATACCTAATCCATTCCTATAAAACGAATTACCATTCATTTCTCTTTTAATGCTTAAAAGGTCACACAAACTTGTACTATCAATCAACTTGGGCCTGTCACCAAAAGAATTACATACTTTGTCATCTAGCTAGCTAGCTAACAGCTTCCCTTTATCCTATTCTTCAAATCTTATTTGTTTACTCTGTACCCCAATCTCAGCACTGGCCCCTGCTCTGCAAAGCTGGGGCATCCAGGAATCTAATCCCTTCCTTAGAAGTAGGTTCTCAAAGGTCTTAAAATTGTGCACACATATTGGATTTTATAAAATATTTAATAAGCTGATAAAACTAATCAAAAACTTGTCTACTCATGACTTTTCATGTAAAAATGCCGAACCCATCTCTGCATGGATTACCGGTATTTGGGTGAGTGTATGGGGGAATAGAGAGATGGATCACGAATTTCCTAGGCTTATTAAAGGCATTTGATTGCACTAAACAGAAAAGAGGCATTCAACAACATACATAAGGGACACCCACTGAGCTCCAGAGTGACTTAGAATACCGTTTTTTAAAGTCTCATGGCAGTGACAAGTCCCTGTAGGGAGGAGTTGCTTGGCAACAGAAGTTCTCATTTACCAATAGGTGATTTAATACAAAGCCTCGGCAGTTCTGAACGGTGTGATCCACTGCTGTTTGTCCTTACTGGTTACAGCACTCTGAAGGCAGCTGAGTGTAGGTGGCTACTTGAGGCAGTAACAAATTGATAGGAAAAAATAGAATACAGAGTTATACTTAAGTGAGTCACTTTTTCTTCCCTAACCTTATCCCTCAAAGAAAAAGCAAACTCATTTTAATCCCCTTTCTCCCAAGTGTCAGAAGAAATTCAGCCACCCTCCAGCCCTCAAAAGCCACACCAAGAAATAAAAACATCATAAACTTTAAGAGCTCAAAGAACTGTTCAGCAAGAGGATCTGGGTATAAAAGGACAGTCCGATGAAAAAACACTGGACAGCAGGAAGACACCGCAGGCAGAAGGAGGGGTTCCGACACACATGTGCTTAGTCAGTTAAAGACAAAGAGCCAATTACTAAAGAAAATTGCTCCCAAACCAAGGCAGCCACTGGAACACGTTATAAATAGACACAATCTAGGCCTAGGCACTAAAATCCCCCCTTTTTCCCTTCACTGGAGAAAAACATTTCATGCAGGGAATATTATTCCAGAAACCAAGGGAAGAAAACAATTGAAATTCAATACTAAATTATATAAATGCTATAATATTAAAATTTAATTATAAAATATAGTCTGAAAAGTTTGGAACTGCCTACTAAAATAACATAAGGAAATTAGCAGTGTTTCCAATCTTTAAAAAGATGTTTTGTCCTGTCACCAGCACGGACGTGTTCCCCATTTGGTACTCCGCCACATACACCCAAAACCCCACCTTCGATACCAAACTAAACTATGATGAAGTAAAGCATCTTTAGAAGCTAGTTTTTCTGGTTATCGCTACAACTTTTAAGTAAACACTAGCATTCCCTCTGTACGGTTTTCTATAGAGAGAACGATGCTTCACATTGCAAAGACAGGAAAATGAGAAATTACCAAATGGTATATGTCAGACAATGCTCATTAGAAGGGGCCTCTTTCAAAGAGACTTCTTTTCACTATATGTAAGTTTGGTAAATGAAATAACAGAAGTATCTTTTAATAAAAATTTAAAAACTGCCTCTGTACTACCTAAATAATTCTATGAAAATATCACTTGAAACAAAACTTTTATGTTGCAGAGAAATCTGGAAGGCTGTTGAATCTAATTATGCTCTAAAAGCAACTCTTTTATTTATTTGTTTGTTTGTTTATTTATTTATTTTTAAAGCGATTCTTGAAAACTATTTTTTAAGGGTAATAAGCATTAAAAAAAAAATCATCCAGGCTGATTTTAGGCTGCTGGTAACCCAAAAATAAAAGATTTAGCAATAGTTAAGCTAAATCAATCCATTTCAGGGATGGGTATACAGCTTAATTGGCAGAGTGCTTGCCTTGCATGCACAAGGCCCTGGGTTTAATCCCCAGCACCACAAATATAAATAATATAAATATAAGTATAAATAAATAAATATCATAAATATACAATAAATATATTTTATCTATATCAATCCATTTCAAACCATCACAACCACATAATCCATTATTTTCTATTCATCTTTATTCTTTACATATTTCCCTTCACAAAAACTTCAATAGAATATAAGAACAATTTCATTCAATATGTATCTTGTCATATTTCTATTCTGCACAGAGTGTTGGGGCATTAGGTAAAAAAAACACAGAAAAACAGCAACTTAAGGACTATTCCAGTTTATCATCAAATCTCTGATCAACTCTAAAAGATGTTCTTAATGTTTATGGGAATACCTGGATTCCAAGTGTTCATTTATAATCACTGTCACAACACTAGCTTTTGTTTATTTATTTATTTGCTGTAATGATTCAATTTTGTTTTGTTTTGTTTTGTTTTTTACCTTCATTAGCCTCTGGCCTTGAATTCTTGATATATGCAGAGAATTTGGCAAAGATGTCCATTCCAGCAGTATTTGATTCTGGGTGTTTTGGTGAAAGCTTTAAGTACCTAAATAGAAAAGGTGACAGTGTGTTATAGATGCAAAAATGCATTAGCATAAGTTCTATCAACAAAGAACTGTGCTAGCTCTCCTATAACAGTTATTACTGTAAGAAAGCCATCATTTGTTTGCTATGATATTTTTTAAATGTTTTTTCCTTAGGAAACAAAGCTCTGCACAGTGTTTTTGCTCACATGTTAATATTCTTGGCAACCAAAGACCATCTACATGCCACCTCCATTTGATAATTTAGAACACTATGGAGATAGTAGACTTGTTATGTGATTCCTGCCAAGCCAAGAGGCATCAGAGAATGAGACCTCTGGAGAGCACTGTCCAAGAGAACTTTCTGTGATGATGGAGATATTCCACATTTTCACGGTCCAGTGTGGACGTCATCAGTGCCAGTGACTGTCTGAATACAAATTTAAATGAATCACAATAAAATGAAATTAAAAATCACTTCCTCAGTTGCACTAGTCACATTTCAAGCACTCAGTAGTTACGAGACAGCACAGCTCAGGTGCCTTCTCATACATCTTTAGTTGTCCACGCACTGAACCAGGCCTGCACAGGTACCAGAGATGCTGAGAGCAAGAAGAAAACCCAGGCTGATCTGGCGTTCTGATCACCCATGGCAGGTAGGCCTTCCACTGCACACCCTCACCCATACTTACCCAAACCTCCATGTTACATATTCCATACTACATTTATAAGGGCATCAGTGAGCAGCAAAAAAAAATAAATGTTGGAAATGATACTGAGCGCTCTGGGGCACTGTTATAAAGTTTTCAACTCTGAAAACAGACATGACAGCAGCCTTTTGAAACATGTGTGTATTTTACATATTTAGATCTCAAACCCACATACTCAGTGCACATTTCTCAAATTGGAAAACATATATGAAAAGGCCCAACTGGACATGTTCCCTTCAGGGCCAGCACACTCCAGAGTCAAGGCTGGAGAAATTCAACCTCCACCCCATTTCAGGGATGATGAATCAGCCAGAAGCCCTGTAAAATGCCAACGGAAAATGGACCAAAAAGCAGAAAAACTCTGGGGAAAAAATATTTTACACTGAACTAGTTATTTCAATCATTCGTACACTGGAAGATGCTGTCCTGCCATCCAAGACGCAGGCGAGGCAGTCTTTAAGAAACTGAGCTCAGTTACAAGCTGTGTTTCAGTGCAGGTTTTAAATCACATTTCTTCTGTTCACAATTTTGATTTTAGGAAGAGATGTAGCTTCTAAAAATTGTGCACAATACTATACACTGGTAAGGGAGATAAACAATACCTGTTGAACATCTCTATGCTCCAGTTAACCTCCTTCTCAATAGATCTACACAGTCTCTAAGTAGCTCTCAATTTTTAATCTTAAATATTTCCCTTATAGATACAATGACGTAGTTTCTCAATGAACAGAGTAAAGGATTTTCACCTGAATTTATGCATGTGTATGAATTTTTCCCCTAACTATAAGATCTCCTCCTACTGTGAGAAAGTATTAAATGTGTACTATTAGTTTAATGAATAAAATAGTATAGCTACATGAGATCTTTCACCTCAAATCATAGTTGGCCTAAAAGAAAATTACATTCCTCAAGTTTACGTATTTGGTCCCAAAAAACACTGAACAAGTTAAAAGTAACCACTAACAAAAACTCAAATTTCCTATCTTCAGGATCAGTGGGGATTTTTTTGTTTGCTTCTATTAGATTAGATTCTAATAGAATCTAATAGAACAGATAAATGAAATTCTAAACTAGTGGGTCCAAAATCATTTGCCAATTTTTCTTGCACCTTCACAAAACACTAGATTTTAATTCCTCCATTATTAGTTTTAGCTTAGTCAAGCAATGATTTTCAATTATTTCGAGCATTCATTTTAATATTTTACAAAAAGGAAGCAAATAATTCATGAACTATGTGTCAACAACAGAACAGATATGAGCACCCAGGGCATCAGACTGAGTCTCAAACCAGCCCTTCAACTCATGGTGGACCAGCTAAGAATATTATAGCCTTTTAGGGGAAAGAAAAAAAAGATCAATATTTTCTTCATTCTTGTATTAAAAGAAAAAAACTGGTTATATACTGCCTATTGAATTATCCTTGTAAATTCTTTCCTTGTGTTTCTCATTTTTTAAAATTGGCTTAATGACGTAGTTCCTCACTGAACAAAAAGAGTAAAAGCTTAATCTTGGGCTGGGATATAGCTCAGTTGGTAGAGTGCTTGCCTTGCATGTAGAAGGCCCTGGGTTCGATAGCCAGCACCAAAAAATAAAATAAAATAAAATAAAATTAATAAAAATTAAAAAATAAAATCAGCTTAACTTTTATAGAATTCTCCTCCAAATTTATCCTATTATCCTTCTCTTATCCTTCTATCTTTTTATAAGTACTTTGGTCAAGTATAGTTGAGTTAAAAACCCAAGTTTCAAAGGCAGAGTAGTTCAAGCAAGAGGGACTAAAAAAATACAGAACTGCTTTCGCAAGCGCAGGAAGGGAGCGCACTGTGGAACCTGTAGTCTCACACACCCGACTCTGAGTCAAGCTTTCCATCAGTCCCTAAATTTCAAACACTCCAGAGGAGACACTGCCTGGTGCCTGTATTTCGCTGTGACTAAACCAGGAGGCGTTCACATGGAAACGCTGTGCTCAGCATCACCAGCGCCAAAGCCTTGTCATTAGAAATGCTGGGCTCCGGCCCCTCCGCACCCCACCCTGCACCCCGGCCTGCACCGCTCTCCTGCCTCTTCTCATCCTATCCAGAAAAAGGCCGCAAAGCACCAGGAGAGAAAGGGGCCAGCAGCCAGGGCGCTCCTGGTGCAAGCCACAGAGGTGCGCAGGCGGCGCCAGCAGCGTGTCTTCCACCGCTCCTGCACCCACAGCTCCGTCCTGTGGACAGCGCTCCGCACTGTAGGCGACAGAGTCCACTCGGAGAAGGCATTCGCCACCCCAGCATGTTGAAGTAGGGACAGCCAAAGTCACACCTCACCATAGCTCACCAGCAGCGGGGCATTCATGACTTGCTGCCAACCGTGGTGGGTCTCACTAGAGCAGCCTGGTAATGACCCGCCTGGGTTTCTAGCCCACCCTTCCTCTAAACTTCAAGTTGGACTTCAATCTTGTACTCATGAAGCACGATTCTGATCAAAGACTCACATTTTGCCTCTTTTATAAAAGTTAAACCCAATGAAATGAGAGGACAAAGCAGAGAACAGAGGAGACACGTTTTTAATACCGTATCAACCTGGCTTTAAAGGTGGCCCAGCTCTGACACCACTAACTGGGAGAGGCTGGACAAAGTATTTGGATTGTTCATTTTTCAGTTTCTTTTTCAAGTCTATGTGGGAATTGAGATCACCCATAAAAATAATCTTCAAAGCACAATACATGGTACACATTAGCACATGCATACTAGTAACACCAGAAGCATGCATTAGCAGTGTCAAAAGTAATTTCTTCTATATAAAGTAAAACTTTATAACTTTACTCAGAAACTCTCTTCAGAATATAAACTACAACATATAAACAAGAAAAATACCCTAGAGAGAGTATGGCACCTTAAGAATACTCAAAACAGAAAGATTTCCATGCATTTAAACTGAAAGAAAAGACCATTTCTGTTTATAGTATCTCTTCAAATCTGCCCTCCCCCCCATGGGGCTGAAATTTCCATACAAAACAAAGCAAAATGAAAATGTTTGTTTCCATGGTCCAATTCAAAGCTCTGATGTCTTACAGAACAATGGATACCAAGAAACCATAATATGTTGATATCAGCGCTACCATTTCTCTTCATGTCAAAGTCCTCTGGGAGAAGTAAGAAGGAATGATAAACATTCTTGATTTTTGGCTGGTGAAGAAGACTAGAAAGGAATATGGGAAAATGTCCATTTGACTAAGTGATGCATATATTATCAACACAATGATTTTAAAAACTTAAACTTGGAGGAATTTAAACAATAAGTATTTCATACAGTGCTTTAAAACAAAATAGTTTTCTTCATAGAGAATGAGTATGTCATTCAAACACCTTCTCTACTTATAATTTAATGTTCACACAATGATCCACAGGTATGAGAGGAAGATCACTTTCAATCAAAGTCTGAGGACAAGTTGGCAAACATGGTACTTTTCAAGAATAAAAAGGGATCTAATCTACTATGTTCCATGTTGCAACAGGCTTTCAAAAGTTCCTAATGTGGGGCTGGGGCTGGGGATGTGGCTCAAGTGGTAGCACACTTGCCTAGCATGCATGAGGCACTGGATTCGATTCTTGGCACCACATAAAAATAAAAAAATAAAATAAAGATATTGTGTCCACCTAAAACTAAAAAGAAAATATTTAAAAAAAAAAAAGTTCCTAATGTTTCCCTATTGATGTGTCTAAAGCTTTCCTTCACATTTTACAAAGATCCCAGTTTTGATGTACGGGTATTCTAATCACAGCACGGCCTAGAGGAAAAATTAGGACAGTTTTATTAACATTGGTCTGGAGACACTTTATTGGAGGCTCAAGGCAGTTAGAAAGTCTGGGGAAAAGAGATAAAAGAAGCTTGAAGCTCTTAGAAAGAAGGTAGGCAGGCGGGGGACAGGCTTTTGGAATTATATAAAAAGGATTAAGAGAACACGATCTTGGGGTTGGCACGGGATTGCCAAGCCAGGCCACTCTGCTCCCAGGGGACAGGGAGCTGGCTGCCGAGGAGGCTCGTTACTCCACTAGGACAGCCTTCCTTCTCCACCAAGCCTCACCGCCGGCTCCCGCCAGCCTCCAGCTCCCCAAAAGAAACACTGTTTCCTTAAAAGGAGTCTTGCACCCTAAAATGCCTGCCACTCTTCTGCTAGCTGTCATTTTTTTTCCCTATAAATCAGGCTTAGTGCGGGTGCTGCCCCTTTTCCAAAGCCTTTCTTGCTGCCACTCACCACCCTCACCCAACCCCTCCCACTCCTACTGAGGGCACCAAGTGAAGGCAGGGACCGTGTCACCCTCGCTAGTGTATCTAGACTGTTTTGTTGCCCGGTAACTGCAGAATGAAGGAAGGAAGGAACAAATAAATGGATAGATAATGAGCAATTCATTTTAAAACCCTCTGACCTAATAATTCCCTTCCTGGGGAATTTATCTGGACATGGAGGGTAAAAGTCAAGTTACTAACAAGAAAAGCTTGGGTTAAAGGGAAAAAACCCATCAACTTTTGGGATAATGAAACTGGAAAAGTCTCAAAGAAACTAATAATGTTTTGAACCTATGCCAAGATTACAGAAGGATCCAAAACTGCACATCTGCAATTGAGTTAACCTAGTACATGTACAACCTGGAAATCTGGAGTACCTCAAAGAAATAAGTAAAAATGAATCCCAACAGTGTGAAAAATCACTTCCCCTAGCTATAGGTTCCGAAAGTTACCTTTAAAAGTGAGTGAGAGCAAATTCAACAGCACCCTGCACCAAGCACCTGCTCAGACCTCTGCCTAGGGTCAGTGGAACCCACAGCCCACAAGAGTCTTTTCTGATATGTCCCAAACCCGCTTTCTCCATGTTCCTGAGAGCTTAGACACATTCCCTGCTTTCTCAGTATGGCTTACTGGCCTAGCAAGAAGTCATTTCTGACATCTATGTAGCATTAATTATAAGTAACTTAGAAAAGACACCTGGCCATTCCCAAATCAATGCTATGAGAATTTAAGTAAGCAGGTAAAGGGTCTCTAAGGACAAATCACACAAAGCTACAAAAAGGCAGAAATGTCTCCATGTACATTTTATTTGATACTCACTTGGGAGGACACAAGACTTCTTCAAGAAATTCCTCAATCTTATTTACATCCGTTTTGACTTCACTGTTGAAAGTTATAAATGGTGGGTGTGTCCCAGGAGCCAAGTTCTGCAGGTCTGCAGGCTTCCTGTTAGGCAAAATAGTAGTCAAAATGAGATTTTTTTTTCTTTTCTTTTTTTTTTACTCTAGTAAAGCAAAAGTACTGTAGCCCATAACCCCAGCAATTCAGGAAGCTGAGGCAGAAGAATTACAAACTGGAAGCCAGCCTCAACAAGTTAGCAAGACCTTCCCTCAAAATAAAAAATTTAAAAGGGTAGGGATGTGGCTCAGTGGGAAGGTGCCCCTGGTTTCAATCCCCAGTACAAAAAAAGAAAAAAAAAAAAAAGCAACAATACTTTAAATTCTTAAAGAGTAGTTCTAAATTTTCAAAGTATATTAGAATGAATAAGAGACAGCATTTAAAGTCTAAGAGCTGCAAAAGTACGCCAATAGAAAGCAGATCTCCACAAAGCACATATTCTATGGCAAGACCATTAAGTGTCTTCCATTATTCCAAATTTAACTAAGGTGCTTATGAGAGATGGTGGTAGAATGAGGGGCAGAAAGACTTGGGAAAGTCAGTCTCTGATTTTCGACTCTGGTAGCAATTGTGCCTAAGACAGAAACTATATAGGCCTTTTTTTGAGGGGAGCAGGAAAAAAATACAGGGGAGCAGCTGATCCTGCAGCCATTTTCAACTCTAAGATTCCAACTCTTGGCACTGCCTCTCCTCGTTTTTATAGAAGTTCAGACTTAACAAGGAAAAAGATCACCAGATTATATAATTATCAAAATTACTTCAGTAACCAGACATGGTGGCGCACGTCTGTAATACTAGCAGTTCCAGAGGCTGAGGCAGGAGGACCATGAGTTCAAAGCTAGCTTCAGAAACTTAGCAAGGCCCTAAGCAACTCAGCGAGACCCTGTTTCTAATTAAAATATAAAAGGGGTTGGGGACGTAGCACTATAGTTGAGCACCCCTGGGTTCAATCCTGGTACCAAAAAGTAAAAATAAAATTACTTCAATATATAAGAGATAGCAAAATCAATGGTAAAAGGCAGTAGAGTAGATAAACACTATAGTGAAAAAGAAAATCTATAAGGAGTTTTGTCCACATTTATTTTTATTTTTATTTATTTATTTTTTTTATATTTATTTTTTAGTTGTAGTTGGACACAACTATTATTTGGTTTTTTTTTGTTTGTTTTTTTTTTTTTAATTTTTTTAAGAGAGTGAGAGAGGAGAGAGAGAGAATTTTTAATATTTATTTTTTAGTTCTCGGCAGACACAACATCTTTGTTGGCATGTGGTGCTGAGGATCGAACCCGGGCTGCATGCATGCCAGGCGAGCGCGCTACCACTTGAGCCACATCCCCAGCCCTATTATTTGTTTTTATATGGTGCTGAGGATCAAACCCAGGGCCTCGCGCTTGCTAGGTGAATGCGCTACCACTGAGCCACAACGCCAGCCCATATATTTATTTTTTTAGAGTCATCAAAAGATCAAATTAGAATGGGTTGAAAGAAATTAATAGGAGAAAAGTGAACACATGGAAATATGTCAAATATCACAATTATCCAAGGAATTAAAAACTAAACAATGAAGCTATTTTCCTCTTATTAAATAGGAAAAACTGAAAATACCATAAAACACTAATAAAGATGACAAAACTTTATACTCAACACCACCACTAAAAGCAAGGAATATTGTTACTAAATAGCTAAAAAGTAGAATGTCTCACTCAGGCCCCTCCCATGAATATTAGAATACATAAATGAGATGACCAGATATGGTGTGTTTCTTGATAAAACATGAAGTATAAAGTACTATGAAATATTCTTACCAAAAAAAAAAAAAAATCTGAATCTAATCAAGCCTTGGAGGCATGTGTTTCTCAAAGTATGAACCAGGCAACCCCTTGCCCAGGGTAGTCCATGAGGTCAAAACCAGGGCATCCATCATCTGCCTGATCACTCTCATTTTTTTGTGTATGCAGAGTAAAGTTTCCAAATTTATTTTGGCTACTTTGTGTGTAAGATGACAAGGTAATTAATCCTGAAACAGATACAAGAAATCTACTCTTCAATTAAAGCAGACTATTTAAAACAAAAACTGAGGGACATAACCAAATACAATGAGTGACATGTGTTTAGACAGTGATTTGAACAGAACTGCCATAGATAAAAAAGATACTTTGGCAATAACCAGGAAAATCAGATTATAAACTAGAAACCAGGCATAACAATGGCATTGTGGTTAGGTAAAAAAACGTCCCTGTTGTTTGGAGACCTCATTGAGGTTAGCAAGGAGGAAATGACATAATGTCCAGGATTTGCTTTAAAACATTGTAGCCAAGAAAATGTAGTAAAGTCTAAGCATTTCAGAAAATGTAGTAAGATTTGGTAACTATATTGGGGTTATGGAGAAGTTTATTCTAGTATATGTTTGAAAACTTCCAAAATTTAAAAAAGTAAACTTTAAACTTAAAAAAATATATAGCAATATATCACTTCAAAGAACTTCCCCTTCTCAGCCCATACACGGGAGGAGCTGGCTTTCCTGCCTTCTTCCTTCCTTCCTGAACACAGATGCACAGAATCTGGATAAAATAAGATATCTTTAAGTGGATCATGAGAATGGAATACTTGGTTGTTAAAAAAGAATTTTCTAAACAGAGGGCCTGGATCCATACTTAGCCCAGCTGTCCACGTCCCCTGGTCTCATTCGTTCCCATTCTCTCTTAAGCTCCATCTTTCCATCCAGGTTGGAGAGCGCCTCTTCGGTCTGTGACCACATTCCAAGCAAAGACACGATGACTTATTGAACTATTCGATTATTCCAATTTTCTAACTTTACCCAAGCTCTAGGGCCTCTCTTCCAAATCAAAGACAAGACATATTTTCTTAAGCTCCAAAGATGACTTCTAAAAGTCAAGGTCTGATTTGATTCTTTCCCTGAGCACCCTTCAGTCTGACAAGGTAAAGGTGAGCTCAAAATGGCGGGAATACCTGAAACCTGAGGTCTTCCAGACCCCCACTCACTAAAATAGGGGTAAGCCTATAATGTTAGTTACTTTTTATAAATATTCAACTTCAAATTATAACTGTTATGGTTCAGAACTAGAACATCCCTCCAAGTCTCATGGGCTCAGAGGTGGGGCTTCTGGGAAGTGACTAGTCCTGAGGCTCTGAGCTCACCAATCCAGGATGGCTGAATGGACTCCTGGGAGGTGGGACCTATAGGTCACCAGGAGCATTCCCTGGAAGGACTTATCTTCTCTCTGGCACTGTCTTTGTCTCGTTCTGCTTCTTGAATGTCACAAGCTGAGCACCTTCCTCTGCCACACCCTTCCACCAAGACGCTCTACCTCACTGAGGCCCAGAGCGATGGAGTCAGCCAACCATGTACTGAATACTCTGAAACCATGAACCAAAATAAATCTTTCCTCTTCTAAGTTGTTCGTCAGGCATTTTGGTCTGACTACCAGAAGAACTAATTCTTTTATAACCTGCCCCTCATTGGCTTCTTCTTACTCCCCATCCAGACATCTGTTCTTCATTGATCATGAAAGAATCCCATATGTTCAAGACCACAGTCATCTTTAGTCTAGACGTCACTCACTGACAGACTCATTTGTTCCCACTGATAATTTACTTCCTCTTCAATTCAAGAAGATCTTGTACATAATCAAAAGTCCTGAAACCCTAAAAGTTCAGGGTTCATATATTTCTTTTTCAAATCTTAATATTTTTCAAGTTAAAAAAGTTAAACAGGCTGGCCTATAATCCCAGTGACTCAGGAGGCTGAGGCTAAAGGATTGCAAGTTTAAGGCCAGCCTGGGCAACTTAGCAACACCCTATCTCAAAACAGAAAGTAAAAGACACTAGAGATGTAGCTCAGTGGTGAAGTACCCTAGGTTCTATTCCCAGTATTATTTTTTAATACTGGGAAAATGTTTTAGAAAGCTAAACAAACAAAAAAAATAGCATAAAGGTAAGAAAAATCATCTCACCAAAGCAAGAAGGCTAATAAAATAAAACTTGTATTTTAAACAGTACACAAAAGAGGGGCTGGTGGTTAGCTCAGTGTAGTGGAAGAGCTTGCCTTTTATGCACAAGGCCTGGGTTCCATTCCCAGCACTGCCAAACACACACACACACACACACACACACACACACACACAACACACATCTCCCAGGGAATGATGCTGGGTGAGTAAGAACGTTCTTTCCTCTCTTCACATACAAATTGTGATCACCTGAAAACAATTTTCTTATTCTAAAGTCATAAAACATAATCATCAACATTTTTACAATACATAGTAAATTATGTGCCTAAGTATAAAGTAATAATACAAGTTTGTCTTTTTTTAAATTTTTGTGTAGTTAGAGATGGACAGCATTCCTTTATTTAATTTGTTTATTTTTATGTGGTGCTGAGGATTGAACCCAGTGCCTCACACATGCTAGGCAATCGCTCTGCCACTGAGCCACAACCCCAGGCCCACAAGGTTTTTTTTTTTTTACTAATAATTTTTCATGGTGTACAGTTGGATAAAGGGGAAGAACACCATGCTTAAAAATAGCCCATGAAGGAACCAAAATAAATAACAACTATTACTTCTATAATTAATCATGACAGCTTTTAAACTCTCCAAGCAAAAATATTTATTAGAGGAGGGACTAAGGTGGCATGGCAGAGAAGAAAGAACCAAAGTTGGAATAAGATGGGCTGATTAAAGTCCTAAACTCTGTCATTCACTCATTGCTTCCCTAAGGAAGTCCCTGCCTCTCTGGGAGTATAGATATTTGATTTATCATCAAATAATACATGTGAACGTGAACGTGAACTCAACAAAAGTACGCAAACAGAAGTCATTGCTGCCTTCCATATCACATTAACAGGGCGTCACACAGATGATGAGATCAGCAGATTTAACTTGAGTACAGCTGATGTTTCATGGCTAGTTGTCCAGCACTAGCCAGTTTATAATAATAAAACCTGATTTAGAGGACATATTCAACCAAGGAAATGAAACCAGGCACAGGACAACCAGTTCCCAGCTATGTGCTGATTAGTCCATCGT